AAAATAATTGTGAGATTTTTTAAAGCTAATAATTACTTTCAATTCAATCTATACTCTCAAAAATGTATTTATGTCATGTTAACTTAACTTTATAGTTCAGAAAGTTACATACTATAGCAATGGTGATGTAACAGTGAGTTGTGTCAGTAATTGTGAATTAAATAGTGTTTTGGTTTGTTTTGTTTTTATTAACAACAAGAGTGTTAGAGAACTTCCATTTCTATGGTGTACTCAGGGCCAGCTCAGTCCTTGTTATCTCATCAGAGGTATAATACTCCCTACAGTCGAAGCATAGCCAGACTGGACTGTACTAGACTAGAATGGACAACCCTATTATAATCCAGAGATCTAATGGAATTGAAAAAATTGCCTTCTATTTAAATAATTAAAATAGTGGTTCCAACATCAGCAAATTAAAATACCAAATATATATATCGGGATATGTAATAAGGATGCAAAACCACAGAATCCCCTAACAAGCCTGGAAATGGTCACTGACAAGTAGAAGACACAAAGGAAGGCTCAAAGAAACTCTAAAAAGAACAACGAGAAAATGCACAGGCCTGCGGATGACAATGGTAGAGACCAAAGACAGGGTCCATTGGAGAAGGACGCTCTCGACCTTATGTGTTAACAGAGGTATAGGAAGACAGGAAAAAAAGTAAAATGTTTTATTGCATCAGGAGCACTAGGGTCACAACAGTAGCTGCTGAAATTTTAGATGTATTAAAGGACCCATATTACACTATTTTATGATGTCTGTTATGATGTTTTCCTCATCAAAAACAGACCTGGAGCTGTGTTTTGTTTCATTCACACATGTTTAACACACAAACCCTCTATATTTAGGCTGTTCTTCTCTAAAACAGAAAACACTCTCTTCCACCTGATGATGTTATGTGGTAATACAGGAAGTGCTTCATTGTGGTTGACTAGAATCATTTGGATAATTGCAGCCCTGGAATTGCCAATCTCTACTGAACTGAAGGAGCTAAAAAGGAGCTGAAAAGTTCAAAACTACCGCTTCATGACATCACAAGGTGGAACAGAGCATTTTGAGCTTTGGAGATGTAGAAAGACATTTATTTATATGTACAGACTTTATTAATATATTAATAAAGTTACTATATTAATAAACGGTTATGGGAATGAAAAAAAAACATAACTCCAGGCATATTTTGAGGAGGTATCATATGTTTTTGAGGACGTAATAACATTATAACATGACTTAAAGTTCAGAAGAGTCAGTTTTGCGTAATGTAGGACCTTTAAGTTCTTTCCTTATACCTGAACTGTCTAACTCAGGCCCAGGGGCAAATTTGGCCCACGATATAATAATGTTTGGCTGAGCAGACCCGCCGGCTACAGATAGGCTATAGAGACATTATTTATTTAAAATTTTGTTATTATTTTATATTATGCTTGTTCTGGATTCTCAATGTTTAAGCAAAACTATTATTAAACATTTATTTTAATAAGAAATGGTTTAACATTACATATCTCGAAAGAAGAGAAAACATGCAGATGTTGTTGAAATGTTTCAATAAATATTTAGTTTGGTCCACGACTTAGACCTAGTTTTTAATTTTGGTCTGCAGTGAATTTGAGTTTGACACCACTGAAGTATACTATAATTTGTCTTTGAGTGTGGGATGTAAATTCGGCATACAATTTTTGCCTTTCTTTTGCCCTGTGCACCACCCTTTGACTTTATTCTGTATCTTGTGAATTTTTTATTCAATACAGTACTTTACATATACTTGACTGGAGCATGTTAAGATGGCGCAGACTGAATCGCAGTTAGTGATCGATCCTGAGTAAGTGTAGTTTGAGTGAAGGGCGTGAGGGAGGGAGCTGCAGAAAAGAGCTGTTTACCTTTGCTCCCCTTGTGGACGGAGGGGGATTCATTAGGCGCTGTGTAAATCAATCTGCCTCTCCTTAAAGGCCTGTCAATTTGGGCCCGACGCCTGGCAACCTGACATCAC